TATTGTTCAAAGCCTGGTCACAGTTTACTTTTTCCACCCTAGGTTTGCTCTGTTGTGCTGTGTTGTGGGATGATAGACAAATAGATAGATATACATTCTTTATTTATCCCCTAGGGGAGGTTTTTCTTTAAAGTCAGTAATAGATCCATCTGTTAGTTATCCCTTTGTTGTAAAGTTCATGTATAATTCACTTGTTGAGTTTGTTTATTGACAATGGAAGTAGTAGTTTGACAAGAGAGAAGTCTTTCTGCAAGGCTCAGCCTTTTGTCAGAACTTTGAACTGTCTCTAGAGGATGGAGTTTGCTCAGTTGTTACATAGATGTCTCAGTTGACATCACATGACCTAAGTGTGGAACTTTGGACACATGATAACGGGTCATAACAAAAACATGGGTGTCTAAATTATGATAAAGACAATAAGAAGTGATAAAAACAAGTAAGGGAAACTTGATAGAGGAATTCTTCGTCGTCAGTTCACTTCTCTGTTCTATTGCTTCCTTGTGCTAAAAGCTGATATTTCCTTCCATTTTGTTTTCTCTTGGTGGAGCTCAGTGACTTAGATTACAGCAGATAGTATTCAAATGACAGCTTCCTTTAGCAGTTCTGCATGTGAGTGTAAAATGTTGCTCTGCAAGTGTCTGACGCCTCATGTCTCCCAGCATTTCTCTGTTATCTTTCTAAGAAAAGACAAATTGTTGGAAACATGGTTGCTTGTTTCCCCTGAGCTGTAGTGAAAATAGCTGAATGAGATAAGCTTAAATGCCACTGATAAACACACAGTGACTTCATGTTGGCCTCGCAGTCTGTAAGAGAAGAGCTCGGAAGATGTGCTGGCCTTTCAATTCTGCGCTGTCATTCAACCTGTTCATTAAACTCGAGTAACCCACAGAATGAGGAAATGTGTATCCTTGCATGTATAGGTGTAAGTAAGCAGAGTGGAAAATATGCAGCACTGATGTGAAACATATTACAATGAGCGAGGCGCTAAGAATAGAGTGTAAATAATGTTAAAGGAGACATGCAGGCTCACTCGGCCTCATGCTCACTGTGGTGTTGTGTGGACATGCACCATAAAAGAAAAATAGATTTGGTCCTTGTTAAACGTGACTTGTCACTTATTACTTATAAAACGTTTGGGGGACGACAAGACCAGGTTGTTGTCATTTTGTGCTCAGGTTGCCACCGGAAACTGAAATTTTACTGGTACAGAACAGGGGCGGGTTTCACAAGGATAGACTCTGACTGTGGCTTAGATATATCAAACAGTCAGACTTCAGAAGCAGTTTAGCGCTTGACTTTCTTAAGCCAATACTGTGGTACAATGATTTCTGGGTAAATTAAGACTTTTTTTCAAAACAACAACAAAAAAAAAAAAAAAATGGCCGACTGGAACTGCAGTTACATGCTCAGCTCCATTTACCCTCAGCAGAAAATGTTTGTCTTTTGGAGGAATTCAACAGTTAGAACGTTTTGCTTGAAGAAACAAGAAAATGAAAAATCGGATTTTTGTCTCTAAAAACTCTTTCCTTTCTCATCACTCTCTCCATAACAATGTTGGCAAACCACAAATTATGAGCCATGCTTCCCTGTTTTTTTGTTGTTAGGTGCTACTCGTCAGCACAGTCATTGACTGTTACCATGGTAACATTGGTCTGAAGCCTGAGTTAGCCTAGGGGTAAGGTATCTAATGTTTTTGTCTTAAAATGAGAAATGGTCTGACTTGTATTACATTAATCTCTCAGCAGAATTAAGACTGAACTAACACTACAGACCAGTCTGAAATACCTGTGTGAAACCAGACCCTGTAGTTAGTTTCATAATAGCTATCACAACATGCTGCGATCAGCTGGTTAGAGTTTGACTTTGACCAGTCACACTGGAGAGAACTTATTTTTTTGTCAGCCATTACTTAACTAGCTTCTCATGGTCAAAACCCTGCCTACATACAGCTAGACTATTAAATACTCTGTATTAAAGACAAACGCATTTGTCAGTACTTTCTGTCGGCTTCTCTTTGTGGGTGTAACATCAGGAGAGCTGCTGGTGCTCTTGCCACGACTAGCTTCCCCGCCATCAGCAGTAGCGCTGCTGGTGCTCTGCCGCTGTCGCCGTATGGTGTCTGTTGGTCAGACTTTCAGATGTTTGGGGTTGAAGTCGGTCTATCTCTGGTTTTTAGAGAGATTCATGACATTGGTGGAAAGCTTTTATTGCACATAACATAATTAGTTGTCAACTGGAAGTTTGTATCTCCGCTGTCATTACAAAATAAAGGGCAAATGCCAAAAAAAAGGGGGGAAAATACACAGTAATTTTAGAGAAACTGTGTAACTTTTCTTTATTTGTTTATAACCATTTGTTTTGTAATGATTGTTTATGACCGAAAGTATTTCTTGGCAAAAGTACGTCAAGTCAGCAATTGCAGCGTAGACCATTCTCCAAAATGGTCAGACAGCCTGGCGCTGTCCCTGTGGGATTGGAGTAGATAGTTTTGCAATGAGCAGTATGGTTCGATTGGTGGCTGCATCACGTAGCACTGACCAGAAAAGTGATGATTGGCAGCAAAGCACAGCTGATATAGGATCTGTGAGCATTCATGGTGAAACTCTGTTAGAAGGATTTACTGAAATGTCCAGACTTCTAAAGTTCAATGTTTTTTTTTTTTTTTTTTTTTCTAGATTTGGATGAGTTATTAGCTGAGCACAACACACAGCAACAAACACACAAAACACACCTGCAGCAGACATAGTCAGCTATCAGTGGATGAGGCCTCCAGGCCTGTAGCTGTATCTGCTCAGTGTCTGCCAGCATGTTTCCTGTCCTCACTACCCCGTAGGCAACCCACAGGGCTTGGGTCACGCTGTGCGGCAGTTCAAAGGTCATATTGATCTCAATGAAACAACTTGTATATTTAGGCCTCCTGTCCACTTCTCTCAGGTCAACTGGGTTAAGTCTATGTTGTGTCAGGGGTGGGGAAAAAATAGATTCACTGAAGTTTCCATATTGTTTTATTTGTTTATCTATCTATTTACTTATTTATTTTGTTTTACAATTTTGTTAAACGCCGCGCTTCCTGAATTGATATTTATTTTGTTATTTGCACTGACCAAGACAGAGTCAAGAGGGTTTTATAGCGATGATGCTGCTGAAATAAAGCACAGAAATGAATGAATGATACACAGTCTCTAAAAGTGTATGTGTCAAGTTTTTTTCCATGGTCTAATTTTAAAAACATAAACAAAAATTGCAATAAATCATAATATAGAATCACAATATTTGTAGAATTGTGATACCACAAAATTGCACTGCATATTGAATCAACACCATGTTGGCATGGAATCAGGAAATAAGCATATTGTCCCAGCCCTAGTGTCAACACAACTTATTCATCGTAAAGGGTTATCAACTTCAGTCAAAATCTCTCAAAAGCTCTTGGTGAGACTGATCCTAGATGAGCAGCAGGGTATGGACCTTTACTCTGCCCGTTGTGTCAGAGGAGGCTTTTTATTTGACCAGTTTATTCATGTCTTTTCACAGCTAGGCTCTATTCAGGTTTTTAATTAAAGCCCACACTAACAGCTCTGTGACAACACCGCACCGATGGAGAAATGAAAGGAAGAGCTGGCTAAATGGTACAGTGAACCCTGTTGAAAAGAGGAAGCCGCTTTGCATGTGGTGGATGGAAGCTAAACATAGAATGCAGATTGCTCTATCTTCAGTCCAAGAGAGAGTAGGTGATTTTTGTTTTTAGTGCAGAGCAGATAGTCTAGTGATAATTGGAAGTGGATTCTTCAATGAAAGCAACAAAGATGACCTTTTCTCATTGGTTCATCGTTGTTGCACTTTGCGTGCTAGTTTTATTAGTCCACTGCCAGGTTACACGAGGTCACCCAGGCTACATTCACACAAATATGTTTTAGTTTTTAAAACACATCACTTTTGCTACATTTATGCCTGGCGTCCATACTATTCAGAAGTTTTCAAGCCCCTAAAATGTGGCCTTGTTTTAGTTAGAAAACTCCGTGTTGTGTGTTTTAGTCTGGACTGGCTGAAATGGAGACAGTTGAGAACGGCACACTTACAGTCATTCTTCTGAATATTCTGACACTAAAATGGCATTTTTCAGACGGATCAGGGGACAATTAACTTTATTTGAGACCTGTCTCTGTCTCAGCAACAAACCCTTGCAAGATCTGGCAACACAGATCTCTCCTCATCTGTTGGTTCTGGTCTGGTTTCACTGCTGCACTGCTTCACTTTCCAACAGCACAAGTTTAGAAGGACTTTTACGTGCAAACATGATTTAAAAGTGAAGTAAAATCAGGTGTAAATTCATACTGTATCTCATGTTGTATTGTTGTTGTTATGTTTAGACATAAACAAGCAATCACAACCACGCCCACTTAGGAGACAGGAAGTGTAAACCATTTCATACCAGTGGCACTGCTTGTAATCTCTTACATATAGACAGTATCTTTGAGGCAGACACCCACGTTTGCTTCCTGATTGGGTGTCATTAGTCACAACATATCCTTCCCTGATTCATTCTCTGACACTCCTGTCACTCCATCCAATACATGTTTTCTGTTGTAGTATTTTCTGCAACTAAGCAACCAACTACTGAGTAGACAATCTGCTTCCTGCTTACACTGGCATGCGCATGCTCAGTGTAGGTGAATGGTCATGTGATATGTGTTTTCAGGCATTTCAGTGTGGATGGACATTATTTCTGATACGGAGCTAAAACACTCTATCGTTTTTATTTTAAAACACTGTTTAAAAATGAAACTGTATTAGTGTGGACATAGGTTCTTCTCTGGGTGGCCTGTATGCCTTTGTTCTTAAATCCATTGATTCCTTTTTAAGTGCTTAGGTCAGTAGTAATAAGGACACACATTTATGCAGCTCCACGGTTTGTGTTCCACTTTTTGCTCTGTGTTATAATAACCTCATTTATTTGTCCTCATGACTAATTCCCGCTGTCTGTCTGGCTTCTCTCTCAGGAGCCTGTTTGCCAGGAGAGTGAAGGACAGTCGGCCAGTGGAGCAGAGAGATCCAGGGTGGAAACTGTTTGGGAAAGTCCCCCCACGGGAAGGCTCCATCAAGGACCCTAAGAAAATACAAAAGGTAGAATATTTTTTTTTTTGGGATCATGAAGAGCCCCTCTTACTGACTACATTCACTTGAACACAAAACACCTAGTAGCTGGAGGAAACTGGGTAAGAAATTAGATGATGAGGTCAAAAACTAGAGGGTGGATACCTGACTTGAGCCTAATGGGACATTAAGGGTTGGTCCAGATTCAGACAAAATGTAGAAATGGTGATCAGGTTTGGGTCGGGTTCGGTCATGTCGACCTTTTGACAATCGTCCACAAGATGCCCACTTGTGTAAACAGGCAAGCAGTGGCCATGGTAACAACAACTGCATGACAGGGTAAAATAAGCTTCAGCTTACACTAACTGTATCGGGCTTGGGTTTGGTTTGGACATAAAATGTCTGTGAGGTTCAGGTCGGGCCTGTTTACTACTCTCTCTGACTCGGGTCGGTTCTGGAGAATATGATGCGTAGCCCAGGGCGTCTCTGTAGCACCACAGCACTTATAGTGCTAAGAATGCACAACAATGCCTGTGACACATTTTACTTTTATCAAAAAAAATTGCAGCTCCTGCGATTTGGATATTGCTCTTGACCATATAGATTGTATTTCGAATTAATTGTGCAGCTCTAATTCAGACAGAAATATCTTTGCTTATTTCCAAAAACACATGTCAGAATGTGCCAATTTCTGAATTGCATACAACACATTTAGGAGAGCTTAGACCAAGCCTGTCTCTAAACAATCGTGGTGTTCAATGAAGCCTGTGTAATATTTTAAATGGTCTCTTTATTAGTATTACAGCTCAGAATAGTAAGTGCATTTTCTATAACTGATGCTCAGATGTTTTCTTCTATCCGACATTCTATATCAATCAAATACAAGTGATTTCTTAACATTGCTTCACATTTCTTAAGACTTAAGTTTGTCTGTTCTTTGATGTAGTTCAGCTGCAGTCATATCTCCACTGACAATTAATGAGACACTTGTCTGAAATATTTAAGACCACACTTGCTCAGTGTTGAAAAAGAGCTGCTGAACCATAGTGTAGCTTGTTGTTTACATGGCAACATCTGAGGCTGCGCTCAGCGGCATTCTGTGTTCTGTCCTAAAGAAGACATCAGTCGAATGAGCCAAAAATAGGTTTGTTTATTTCACTTTGTTTGGTTTTCTGTATGCTTTGTTTGAGCCTATCACAGAGAACATGGTCGTCCTGACTTTGAACTGAGGGGTGTTGTTTCCTCTAAACAGCAGATCCTTTCTAACTGTGTATTGAAAGAGAATCCAACAGTAAATTTTTTTTTAGTCCTATATATATATAAAAAATACTTCTAATTCCACTTAATTAATTAATAAGGTCCATACTTCTTTGATTCACATGTTTACCATTTCCACCAAACAAGCCCTCCACAATAGTTGTTTCTGGCCTTGCCATGGGCTGTCAGCTGCGGTTTAAGTTGCTGCAGTGGGTCCCGTGACCTCATGGTCAGGTGAAATGTACCAGCTACCAGAAACGCATTACAACAGCTGATTGACTGCTTCATAAGCAGCCGTGTTAGCTGTTAACTGTATATAACTTTGTCGCGGTTACTAGTGTCTTTAAACTGGAGTTTCAGTTTTGTTTTCCAGCTTTCCCTTTTCTGTCCTGCGCCTCGTAAGTGTTAAATTAGACTTCCTGAAATTGAATTGAATTTGAATAAAGTTTTAGTCAGACTTTAATAATGGTTCGAAAAGTCCACCGAAATGGTGCTGCAGTAGCTTGTGCTGCAGAACAGCTGTTGTTCAAAGGTCATATACATGAGCAAGCAGCTTTTGATGCAATAATGCCTTTTTACAGAGCTCATTACTGCACCATGGGACAGTAAAAACCAATCAGTATACTAACATTATGACTCCTGCTCAGCAAAGATAACAGGACAACTGATTGCTGAGATTCTGTTATATAATCTCTGAGGACCAGGACTTTAAAAGGAGTCTAAAATATTGAGAACATATTGTGACTGTGTACAATCTGTTGTGTTCTTGAATACCAGGAGCACAATGCCCTGAGCAACAACCCTCCCATCAGTGACATTTAGGTTGTTCAGCTAATATTAGAAAGCCCCAGGCTGAAAAGCAAACAGCTGCTCAACGTGTTTTTGTCTTGAGTGTTGACCTGGCTAATATTTCACCTGAAAAATGAATGTACACACAGTATACAGTCATGGCTTTGGTAGCATGTGAGAAATGACAATATCATCCAACTTTTTAATGGAGTAAAAACTTTAACGTTTAGTAGCAAGTTTATTAATACACAGTGGATTTTTTTTAACTACATTTCTCAGTAGCTTTCTGGTAGCTTAGTTATTTTCAAAATGGTGTAGCTATCTAATTAATGTTGCATGTGACACCCTGGATGTCACTACAGTATACACTTCCCGGAAACAACGCTTACCACATGGCACTCAACTGTTTGTCCACGTTCTGCGCCACCATGAGACGCTTCCCTTTGTCACCTCATTCAGTTTGAGTAGAGGAAGAGAGCAGGGTCAGCATGAGCGGCACGGACCAACACGCTCATGTGCGGTGGACAAAACTAAGGTCGTTAAATCCCCTGCCGATCATTGTCATCAGTGGTTGTCATCACCACCTCTGGTAAATAAATCCACATTAGCCTCCACTCCCAGCAATTTCCTGGACTGGATCGCTTGTTGACTGGACTGGACTGATTAAATGGGAAAACTACCAACAAAACTTGACCTATCTTAAATGCCAGGAAGGAGACCTGGCTTGCATTGCTAATAAAAAAATAAAGCTTAAAAATCTCAAGTCAAACTGTGAAAAGCTTTTCTCTAAATCACTTAGCTAGCTTCACGAGCTTTCCACCAGGAACAAGCTGTACTTACCTTACCAAATGCTACGCTGATAAATTTTATTTCTCTTGAATAAAAGATAAAAAAAATCCCAGAAATAACTGTAATATAATATAGCACAACATAATGAGTGCATTTGTTTATTATATACATTAGATGGTTCTTGTTGTCCAGTAACTTCAGTGTAGTTAGGTGCCTTATCGGAGTAGTTTGTAGGTTAGCTTCCCTCTTTAAACAGAGGTGTAATTCTGCTGTATCTTAACTGCTTCCAAAGAAAAGTAGCTTGTAGCGTCATGAGCAACAGCGTCAAGTAGCTTTATCAAAAGTATAAAAATGTAGATGTAGATTTATATCTAAAAGAAAATGGGTTACTACTAGCCACCTTTTAACCATGCAATTGAATTCTGCTGTTTTTCTGTGTCACACTCTAACCTCACTGCAGCGGTAACGTGCCACATGCATGTGATGCAGTGTTTGTGTCGCTCAGCCAGCTGAAATTCAAAATGTCAAGGTCGTTGAGGGCACTTTGTTAGATAGCCAGCTGGTGACTGGAAACTTATAATTTCCCAGTACCATTCAAAGGCAAAGAGCAAAGTGTCTCAGGCCCAATTAAAGACTATGGCAGCTCTCTACTGGTAAAACAAACCTAAGAACAAGATGGCAGCACGTAATTAGAGCGTGGAGAAGCCTGTTATTACCCTGTGGCTGACACCAGGGCAGTAGCCCTCTCCTCTATGCTCTTTGTGCTGTTGATACCTGTTAATCTGCAGTAATGTACAATTTACATATCAGTGCTTTAACATGTCGCACACTATTTCAATCCCTGTAAATATTGACCGTTTTGTGGTATTGGTTTGAAATTAGAACGCCAGGATTGAAATGCTACCTCTTACTCAAGCGCATGTGAACACACAAACACTCAAACGCACACACTCGCTGTACACACCCACGTGTGCTTTAAATCCTCAGTCCATCTCATCTGTGGCTGTAACCTTATATTGGGCCGCAGGATTGGGTTAACAAGGATAGGCTTTCAAGCTTTTGTGTTGCCACTGACGCTGCTATTCAAAGGCGGGGTCAGTAAACTGTGTGTGCGTGTGTGTGTGGAATGCTTTATTTGCCTAGGTTATTATACAGGTGCGCACTGTGCTACTTCAATCAGCAACGTTTCCCCTTTTGAGAGCAACACAGTGAATCAAGTCTAATATTCTAATTTACACCACTTTGCGTTGCTGTGAGTTCGGGGACTCGGTGTTGAAAAAATAATGTGTTCTGTAAGCTGCTAAGCCTCCAATTATCAATGTGTGGCAGCCGAGACAAGTGTGAGATCTTGGTGTGAGGCTGAATTGAAATTGGATAATATTCCCAGCAGGAGTTTAAATCTGAATGTAAAGTCATTTAAACCCCCTTTAAACTTTAATAAATGAGGGATTTTGAGAACCACTACAGATGGTTATATGTAATTTAGGCTGAAACTTGTGATAACTGATGTTTTCTACAGTAAATTGAGTTGTCATATTCATCATCTCAGAGTAATTCAGAGATACAGTAGTTTTTTTTCTGCAGTATTAGACTGTCTTGGCTCAATTTTTGAGTGTCTACATAATCATGATTCCATAGGCATCCGGGAATTGAGCGAAACAAAGCAAGTAAACTAGGGTGGGTTGAGAGGGTGCCTTTCTCCAAGGTTTGTCCTGAGGGCAGTCTCACAGCCTCTTTGAAAACCCCTGTCCTAGAGCACAAGATATACAAGTTGTTAAGTTGTTTAGGGGCTTCATCTGCTGCTGCTCGTTCAGTCCTGACTGGATTAACAGCAGAGAGCTGAGGGGCTGAAACACGATCCATTACTCTGGGGTTGATTAGAATGGCTGACAGGACAAAGCAGAGCACAGAACTCCTTCAGTGCAGCAGCGATGACTAATAACACACGGTGGTGCTGATTTGCTGACACACACACAGACACGCAGCAGCAGCAGCAGCAGCAGCAGCAGCAATAGACCTGATGCAGAGCCGCTCAGCGTAGCGTCACTGCTCAGAGAGAGAGAGACGGGGAGAGAGAGAGAGAGAGAGAGAGAGAGAGAGAGAGCGAGAGGGGGGGGGGGGGGGTTGTATCATGCTGCTACTGCATCTTTTCCAATGCGGGGTGTGTCCCTCTATCGGCAGCTTGACTGTCCCTC